CAGTCTTCCAGTTGGACCTTCGATACGCCATTGTGATTCCGCTCGAGCGTCTCTTACGACCAGTCAACGCTGCATACCGAATGTCATATTTGAATGTCACAGTGAGGCCAGTGGTGAGGCGAGGCATCGACTTACCTATAGGTTGTGTCTTGATTTCTCCCACGTAATATCACACTTTGGTCTTGTCCTTCAGTGCATCCAGCCTAGCAACGTACAGTGTGCTAGGCCGTACCTTCTCCATAACTACCGCTCCCTGTGAGAAGTTGGCGGTACGTTTATTTGGAGAGTCAAATGACTCGGCGACCACCATGAATACATCAATCCGATTGGCGGCAAGTGAGGCCAGTTTGTCCACGTCCCAGCCTAACTCATAGCTGTAAGGAGCCACGTGACGCCAATGGAAGTACTGCGAGAGAGGCGATTCCGGTGACACTTCGTTTTTCGTCATCGTCACCTCTACATTGCAAACAATTGTAGTAATAAAAAAGGAGTGATGAAAAGGATGGCAGAAGTCATCTCCCATATCCCCCATCCTCCCACCTCACTCACCTGCCTTCCCTAAGGTCTGCAGACATGGCACGCAATCTCTCTCTCTCTCTCCACTCTCAATTTTTCACCTTCTGCTAGGCGACATAACTGCCTCCTTTCACCTAAAGACACTCGTAAACACCCCACCTACAGCCGTCAACGCATGGACTGTGCTAGAGAGTGGCGAGGTGGTGTTTGGACACTCCCCAATGCATAACTTGCATGGGTTGAGGAAATCTTCTGGACCCACTTCTCACGGCAAATGAATTCTCTACTCTCATTAGCATCTGTCAATGCGTCAAATGATTGCAGTCTCCTCTTCTCTCTACTCGCTCCAATGTGGAGGTCGAATCGCGTTATCAGTGACAGCCACACAAGTGCACTTGCACCACCGCAGTGGAGTCTTTGTGTGCCAAAATAAAAACACAGCTTTCGCCACCTTTGAGGGGCATACAATCCTGTGGTGGTACGTTTGTTGGGCTCTCCTCAACATACGTACAAATAAAAGTTTGCGGCAGGCAGTGCGGAATCCTTTCACTTCACCTACAAACGCGTCTGCAATCACAAGTATCAACTCACCAGTCGGTAGAGTTTGCATTGTCGCATTGTAGAGCCAAACGCTGACTTCATTGTCAAACACCTCGAGACGAATGTGATACGGCTTGTCGGGCAGCAGTCCCCCGAGACTCACCTCGCCTAGTGAGAAATCAACTATTTTCACCACCAGATCGCCACCCAGATCGACCGCTATTGTACTCACAGCGATTCGGTTGGCATGCTGTTTTGTCATGTTGAAGGCTTTCCAACTCAGTCGATAGGTCTGAGGGTCCACGAAGTTGCAATGGAGGTAATCTAGGAGCGCGATTCCTCCAAATCCATCCCCTCGTGCTCCTATTTTCGTTGTCAACATAAGTCGCTTTTAGTAAAATGCCAAGTCATTGTGGACCGACGCAGTTGTACCGCTGTTAGCGTGAAGACGAGAGGCAGCTCTAAGGCCGCAATCTGCAAGCAACTGGTAGCATGGCAACGTACTTTCTACACCAAAGTGCTCAATTTGGGAGTGGCAACGCCGCTTCTCTGCAACAACGACTGTGCACACCTCACAACTCAACAATAGGAGGGAAAGGTGAGAAGAGAAAAATGAGTGAGACAAGGCCTCATCAGGTGGTTTCGACGATTCCTGATGCCTTTGATGCTGGCGTGACAAATGCTTGGTGACACCTGTTGCTACATCGAGTTGATACAACCCCCTTCAAGTGAGGCACACACGATGACTTCACTGTTTTTAAATGCGGCAGAGTGCAATGCACCAATCCTAGTGTCAAGAAGAGCATTTCGCCTGTGTGGCATAGAGCCACCCTTGACAAATGCCTCTTCATGGGTGTTGATTAAAGTTGTGTGTTAGTTGGCACCTTACCACGATCTTCGCCTGCTGTTCCTGCGGCCAAGGTGGGGACAGCCAGCATGATGAGGCAGAAGGGAAGCGCCATCTCCAATTCACAAACAACGTGCTCTTCCAACTCAACGCCTTTTTATACGCACATCCTCCCACCAACCTACCAACCAATCAGGCACGGTCATACTGAGCTTCAAGGCCACTTCTGCAGTCATGAGATGGAGGCTATTGCGTGTCACTGCGTGGGTGTCATTTCACTATCAATTTTTTGGAGGCACACTGTGAGAGCTGTGTGGTGTGAATTTGGGATGTTCAACTCCACTTTGCCTTTCATTCGTCTTCTAGCGAAATTTATGTGATCATTACGAGGAAGACCGATTTGACTGCTATTGCGACCTACTTACTGTCAACGGCTACGTCAACTTGAGGCCTCGAAATGTGCAGTCTTGGTTTCGGAGGACGACAAATTATGAAATCCGTGGCTAACCCTTCACCACTACCCGTTGCGTCGGTGTGGCTCTTCTTAACGTCGTGTGTCTCAAGGTATGCACCACTGTTAGTGAGGTTGAAAACGAACTGAAGTTAACTGCTCCGACTTGTCAGGTTGTAGGCCTCAACGTACAGTTGAGGTGTGAGGCGAATTTCTCGCCCTGCATATCCAAATACATGAGGCGATAGCGTTGAAATACGTAAGGAGGCGTTCGTCTTCTTGCAGTGCAAACGCTCAAAGACATGCTTCCAATTAAATTGTGAGGACTTTATGGCACTCAATAAATCCATTGAGGTGCCAATGCGTGCAGACATTGCAGGTGATGTTGCAACTACTGTGCACTGGTTATCTCCCATATTGGCTGTTGGCTAAGAGGTCTGAGCAGCTGCTTCCCGGATTTGTAGGCGACCACCTTCGAAATCGACTTCCTTCTCGGTGCGACTTCGACACATCTGTCTCTGTTATAATCCCTATATCTCACTCCTACTTGACGACCAACAACACTTCTCCCACTCAACCACTGACATGGAGAGAGGTAAATATTCAGACTCGCCTCCATTCCAGCATCACGTGACAACGCTGTTTTTGCTCACATCTATTTTCAGCAGAGAAATCTTTGCACTTACGGCAGAACAACAACGCGCCATTGCCCTTTGGGAAGGACTTGTCATTTCATCTCGCACTTTATTTCGTTTGGCCTTTCAGCGTCAATTCATTCTGACAACAGGTGTGCGTCCACCTCACATTGGGCAACATTGAGGCCGCAACGGACGACGAGTGTAATTTCTCCTCACCAAAATAAAGTAAAGTGTCTTGCTTGCTAAGAGTTGGGAAAGTCGTCGAGTTCCCACTTCGATCAGCCATCTGAATGCACATGCAAATGCGATGGTGAAATGAATGCTTCATTGTCCTCTCATCTACCCTTTCACTTAATCCATCACCTAACAAGCGCTTACCCACACAACACGCAGTTTGCGCTCCGATTTTCATTCCATTCCAATCTCAATCGTCATCTTCCATACCCCCAAACATCAACCTCCCATGCTCCGCATTACCCTATACTCATTGCATTTTTTTAATTCCCAATCGCTCTTGCTCCTCCCTAAACCATTCACCCACCACCTCCACATTCCTCCCACCAATCACCAAACACGTCCTCCTCCCCCACCACACATTTCGCATCCTCTTCCTCATCCCTCTCGCATGCACACACAAGCACACATCCTCCAATTCCCCTCCAGCCTCCTCTTCAACTCTGCTATTACTACACTACTACCTCTTCGCGTCTTCGACCTGTGCTGTTGCCTTCCTCCTTCCTGCGCCTTAATTCAAGTACCGACTGACGAGCATCAACACCATCACCGTGGTGCTATGGGTGTAAGGCAACCCCCAACACTTCTTTGCCACCCAGCCATTACGCCTTCACAGTCGATTGCGGTCCTCGTAAAAGACAAGTGCCTTTTCAGCACGACGGTGACTCGAGCACACCAAGTCTGTAAATGTGGAGAGGTAAAGAGGACGACAGAGAAGCAGAAAGCACTCAACTGCTGTTATCTATTTCAACCAAAGGAATCGAGGGAAGCGAAATAGGTAACAGCAAGGACAGCGTACCGAGGAGTGTTCAGCCCCTCCTCATTGTAGCCTAGTCGAGGCAAGTGGTGTCTACTACGCCGTGCATCACAGACCACCTTTCCACCTCCAACAACAACCCTCACCACCACCACCACCACCACAACAACAACAACAACAACAACGAGGACGTCAAAAGCGTCACCGTCCTCTTCACGCTGCTACTACTACTAGTAGTGGGAGTGGTACGGAAAGTAAACGACTGTTCGTGTCGGTGCCGTCGTACTCGTCAGCGTTTCCACTTCATTTCACCACTGTCGCACATCAACCCAAAATGCTAAAATAGAAGCTGCCGCCAGACATTTGACTCAAGCAAACTGCTACCGCCGCCTGCGTGGTTGCAGTTCATGAATCCGTTGATGGCCACATGGTCGACTGGCATGCAAGGAGGAAGGAAAAACAAGTCGAAAATGGGGAAGGGAGAGAATGAGAGGCAGAGAAGGAAGAAACACCTCGCTAAGGCTGAGGCGACGATACATCCCGACACAGCACTACTCCCCTCCTAGCAATATCACCACTAGGCATTTCCTTCCTCGTCTTCTTTCCTCCCGCCGCCGCCTCCTCCTCGTACTCCTCCACAGAATAAAATTTGATGCAAACCCTGCAGCAACAACATTACCATCACCACCGCCATTCCAACACCATCCCAATCACCAAAGGGCGCATATTCAATCTCCACCCCTCCTCTTCTTTGTCACCGCGAATGGATGCTGGCGCTTCCAACTCACACTGCCACGTGGCATACGACCCCACTCCACCCCTATTTCTACGCACACAACTTCTACTGCACTCAAGGTGACAGAAATAGCACCAGGCTCAAGGGCAAACATCTATCATCGCCGAAATCCCCTTCAACACCGACATCACACTTCCAGACTTGTCGTATTATTGGACATAAACGACGCATTCTTTAATCAATTTTTCTTTCCATCACTCGGTCTTCGCGTCTCTACGCATGTTTTCGGAGTGGAGCGAACGCTACTTAAATGGAGTTTAAGTAGAATAATGCTGTTTTCTGGATTTGTAAGACTAATAGCGAACGTTCAGTCTCATTTTGGTTATTTGAATGGTTCGATTGTAGAACTAGAATTAGTTATACATTTTCTGACATCCACCTTGATAGGAGCTAAGCGGTTTAAAACCACACATTACTCTCTAGCACCTCACAACCAAAACATTTCGCACCGCAGGTTTTCAGTCCCATCCTAAGAGGGAGGGCCACAACAGCTTTGCAAACGGACGAATGCAAAGGATAAAATAAAGAATTGGAAAGCAATTGATGAATGTCACGAAATTTCTAATGCCGGGTGCACCAATGCTTGCCTTTGTGGAGTTCGTGCTTCCTCACCAAGGCAAGGAAATAAACGGAAGTGTAAGGGGAAGCACGACTCGATGGAAGGTCGAGCTAAATTACGTAAAGATGTCAACGCAAAGACAATCTGCCGTAAACAATTAAATAGCTGCACGTGATGCTGCAGACTTCGCACCACATTATTTTACACATGCACGCACACATTCAATGAGACACTCCGAAGCGCATTGTTCAACGGCTTCATCCTCCTCTCTCCACGCTGACATCGAATCGCCAAGTCAGCAGTCGACGTTGTGGGATGAAAGAAGGTGGAGGAGGAGAAGGAGGGTGAGAAGAAGAGGCGCTGACAATGTCCAACGCCTGAGAAGGTAAGGGAGAGAAGCAAAAATTGGGCGAAATTTTCCCCTTCTTCGACTGTCCTCACGATTCCTTCACGCTCCTCTCAATCAAATAAGCGTTAGTTGTGCACAATGAGCGATCAGCTCACGCCATCGCCTTCCATGTTGACTGAGTCACTTCCCTTGCCTCCATTCACCTCAACAGTGATGAAAGTACGCACAACACCACTAACAAATTGGTGTCGGTGAAGCGAAAACTACGCGCCCTCAACCACCCAACAATGCAATGCACAGGTTCGGTGGCAAGAGAAGACTACAGAATTTACTTTCCACAACTATTACGCATTTCGTCACTCCACCTTGATGTACGCCGACACACTGCGAAGCATCACTTCAACTTACACTTTCATGCTTTCCTAGTGGCAAAGAATCGTGCGGCGGCAGCTTGAGCAGAAGGAGGTTGTGCCTCCACTGACTGCATTCCACGCAACACGTTTCCCCACCCCCAATGCAGGCAGTGACGTCACGTCAACATTCACTCATCTTCATTTTGTCCGCAAGGCTGAAATAATGCTGCCACTCCGCCCACGCCCCACCATAAACAGTCGGGTGGAGGGATAAACAAGACCATCTATAAATGCTCGTGCAACGCACACACAATCCATTCCACCTTCAATCAACATCAGCTCCACACTGCAACAGCATGCAATCAGCATCAACCCTCATCTGTCTGTGCCTCCTCCTCGCCGTCGCATCGTATCCTGTCTTTGCCGCCGCAGCGGTTGTGGAGAATGCGAGAGCAGAGGAGGAAGACGACGTCAGAACTGTCTGATATGAGTGACGATGTGGTGCCAGACGTGTTTGAGATGGAGAGCCTTAGCGTACCCAACGAGACTGAGGATGACGAAGATGTTCTCGTACCAGCAAGGCCGCGACGACGATGACGAATCATCACCTGTCGTCCTCCTTTCAAGTGGAGATGACGAAGGCGCTATTCACGTCCAGTCTATCAACCTCGTTTAGCCTATTGAGACCCCACCTTGGCTGATGCCAAAGGCATAAAGTTTTTGCAAGGTGCTCACACTGATTCCTTTCAGACTATCTTGTGTCCATTATGACACAATACTTTTACATTGCTTACATCACCCCTTACTTTTCACCCGTCTTCCAAAGAAGGCCTCACCAGTGCTTGCCTTGCTTGTGCGAATGCTCTTCTTAATAAACTTACTCTACACAACCACTTCTCTATTCGACACTGAGTCACTTCTGCAAGCACAGTAGTGCTGCGTCTTCCACTTGACCGCTTGCCGTGACGATCTCATCGAGGTGAAGTGTTGATGGTGAGTAGGCGAACGGGAGAGGGAGCGAGGGATGGAGGGATGGCTGGATCGTGAAGTACAGGCGAGAGCGACGTCCACCGAATCAGGGTGATCACCACACATTCACTCTGCACTGCATAAAGCTATCCCCAACCCAAGTGCAAGCGGTAGCGACTAACGAGTGTGCAAAATTAACTCATGCAAGTAGAGGGTGAATCCTTGCATGTATTTGTAATGTTTGTAACCATCACCGTCAAACACTTTGCACTCAGCGGTGCCATTCATGTCCCTCCATCATCCAAATTAATAACGCTGAGCAGCGAAGAGACACACCAATCAACTGCCAACACTTATTTGATGCGATGTATTGTTTCCTTGGCACGCGTGGAGAGCCGATGGAAGAACTTCGATTCAAGTCGAGGCGATGTCTGCAAACCAAAAGGCGTTGGGTAAGCTGGTGGAGACCAGCACCGAGTAACCTGATCAAAGTAGCTGACGCATTCGTTCACCACTTTCTGCACTGCTGACAAGTCTCAACGTTGCATGGAAGGTGCTGTGGACGACTGCATTCCATGCAAAGCATAAATAAAGTGGGCGAATTGGGTGCGGAAATGCATCCTAACACACCACCACACTTCTCTACGCCTCCTCATCTATGACACCAACTGCTCCATCCACCACGCCTTCCTCCCTCCTCCTTCTCCATTCCTGTCACCAAATACACCACAGCCTAGCAGCTGTGTGCCTTTTAACTCCAAACCCACTGTCATCACCGACACCACCTCACTTTCAAATGCTGACACAATTGATTGAGCCACGCTCTTACTTCCTCTAGACGATGACGCCGTCTCCCAGCACTCGTCACTCTTTCTCTTGCACACACCACTTTGTGCACCTTCCAGCATTACACTACCTTCACTTCTCACCATTTCGATTTAACCTCGCCTTTGCGACGCAGTGAACACGACGTCCCCTCCTTCATGACACATTGGAAACGCTGTCGTACTCACACTGTCAACGCCATTACCACGTGCATTGTCGCAACGGCACTGCCACAATTCTTCCTCCTCCCAACACTCTCCGCATTACGCCAACATACTTGTCTGATTGCTTTCATTTTCATTGCGTCCGCTTCCCCATCGACACCACCTCCTCTGCCTCATCAAACAGGCGCCAGTACCACCTAGCAATGCCGACTTGCAGCACACATGGTTGTCGGCGTGGCTTACAGAGGTCCATCAATCAACACGCATCACTCTCCTCCTTACCATCACCTCATCGCATTCCCACACATCATAGGCGATGCGGACATCGACTCAGTGCCACATCACACCTCCCAGACGGCACTACGACCATTTCTCCTCCAACGCATCAAGTAATGACATTTCACAATCACCCTCACCTCCCACCATGATGCGACTGCAACAAGCATCTGCCCAAATTGACAGCCAATCCGACTGCACTTCAGTAGCGCATTGCATTCCTTCCACACTACCTTCACTCACTCACTCACTCACTCACTCAATCAGTCGCTCACTCACCACTCACCCCTCACTTGAGCATCACCTCCGTCTACTTCAACGAGCAACGCCCACCAACACATTGTCACGACAACAACAACCTCAATCTCTACAACATCCACTCTTCCATGGCACACCAATCAAAGGCGTCTTCAAACAATTGCTGTTGATGCTGCTGCAACGGGTATCATTTTATAGCACCGCATACGAGGAAAGGAGAGAGGCAGATGACGACGGTTCCTCCATCCTGTCACCACCATCTGCACCACCAACAGCACACATCCCCAGTTTCGGTTATGCACTAATTAAACAATGCACGACATCAAGACCGCCACCAGATGGATGAGGTGCAAGCGCACTCCCTCCCTACATTCGCCAATGCCAAACTTGAGGCGCATTGACGAATCACTGCAACACTTACCGATGCCGAAGGTCTCAGCATCACCAATCCTGACCGACAACACCGAGGACCCTCCGCAATGCCACCACACGACTGATGCTCCCACTCCTCTCGCAATCCATCGTCCATTGACCAAATCACAATCCCAATCTCCTAAATCAACACAAACCATTCACCAAACAACAAACACATCTTCTTTACTTTGGACCACATCCCTTCAAACACAACTCACAAAGAAACCAACAACAAATAACTCAAGAGAAACAAAACTCCCTCCTAATGTTA